GGGGAAGAAGAACAAACTGGGGAGGAGGGTGGAGAGAATGGTGCGGCAATGAAGGAGTGAAAGCCCAGAATCCCTGTGAATGTTCATTGAAACTAATAAAATTTAATAATAAAAAAAAATAAATTTGCATGTGAGTAACTGATGATCTGTTCCACAATCACCAACTCATCTGATTTTGACTGCAGATATTGTGCTTCTCCAACAATTCTTTTGGCAAATATAGCCAATCTGATGCCTGTACTGTTCATCAGGTGAGGTTCATGTGTATAGTTGCCTTTTGTGTTTTTAAAAAAGCTGTTTACTTCATTTATTTAATATATCATTGAGCACACAAAACTCCATTATTCAATCTCCAGCCTCATTTCTGTCAAGTTCATACTTTCCACCTACCATTGTTTCCAACCTTTGCATTCTAGTCTCCAATAATTACTAATGCATCTTTCTTTTACTAATGCATCTTGTTTGCATGTTTGGTCAATTTTACATACATTGATGCTTCACACATTCCGTATTCCAGTTATTAGTCACTGTTTGCAGCTGTTTCTCTTCGTTTTGAGTGACTTCCTATCCAGACTCTAAGTCTAATGTTGTATGTGCCTGTGTTTGGGACAGTTCCATAAAGTGCTGCTAAGAACATTTCAGGACATGCCTATTGGGTAGTTCAATTAGGAGAGGAATTGCTGGCAATGTGACTGTTTTTAAATATTGAGAAGTAACCGACATAGAAGATTGAAACCAGAGATAAGGAGAGGGCTTGAGATTCCCAGGGAAAGCTGAACAACTGGTTTGTCCAGGAGCTGGCAAGCGTTCCTCTTGCAATGACAGTTCTGTGGCAACAGGTGGAGGTAGAGAGCAGTCTGGTGATGGAGTTGGGCCCTCTTTTCTGCGGACAGTTGTGGACGATCCTTGCATCGTCATGTCTGTGGATTTAGAGGGTTCGGAGCTGGAGGCAGGGGTGATGACCAAGGTTTCAGATGGTCATAGCAAAGAGTGTTCGGCAGAGGTGAATAGAGGGCACAGTCCACAGCTTGCCCAGCTGTTTTCTTTGGGGTTGTGTGATTTTACCACAGAACAGATCCTTGATGTGAATCTTGTTTCTTATTAAGTGCCATCGAGGTGCCCGCAATTCATAGCCACCCTTATGTACAATAGCTCTGAAGCCTGCCCTACCCTGAGCCAGTCTCACTGACTCCCAAGGCACCTAATCCCATTGCCCCAGTCACTGTCAACCCATCTAATCCGGGACCTTCCTCTCCTAAACTGTCCCTCCACCCTTCCAAGCATGATGTCCTCCTTCTCCAAGGACCCATCCCTCCTGGCAACATGGCCAAAGTATATGAAACGGAGCTTCAAAATCCTTGCCTCCAAGGAGAAACTTAGTTTCATACTCTCCAGTGAATCTTAGATTGAAGGAATTTAGGGATTTCACCATGGTTTCCAGGGAGTCCTTAAGAGTCCACCTCAGTTATAACACACCCTGAAGTTGGAACTGACTCATAGTTATGTTGTTGTGTACCTTTGAGTCGGAACTGACTCGTTCCTGACTCGCCAGTGGCTTCTCACACAGGAGAAGATTGCCTTTTTCTTTTGGAGCAGCTGGTGGAGTCAAACCTTGCTCCTTTGGGTTGGCAGTGCAACTCCTTACCACTAAGCCACCAGAGCTCCCTCTACCTCAGCAGGTTTGAGGATTCTGATATACTTGTAGGCTGCCCACAGAGAACTGTAGCACCACCTGCTGGACAGGAGCCACATGATAGGCTAGGTCCACCCTTGCTCCTCAGGCATTTTTACCTAAGCCACACAAGAAGTTGTTTGCCAGTTAGAGAAACCTAGAGCTCAAAGTGGTCTCAGACTGAGTCTTGACCCCATCCCACCTTCAGACACCTCCAGGTAGGAACTTAGTTAGGTGTTAAGTTCTGGCCAAGGCCATTAAGAGAGTAATTCAAGCTCCACTGTCCTTAGACCAAAGTCATGGACCAGGTGTTGCAGAGAGAGAGTCTGCATTCCCAGCAAGGGACCCGCAGGCATCGTGGGTCTCAGGGTGGTGCTGGCTGTTGGGGGCCCTGCTGTGGCCACCCACTTCACCAAGCTATGGCCCTAGTGCCAGCCCCTTAGCTGTGTGCCCTGATAGGACAGCCTAATGTGCCGTCTCCCTGCCCGCATGCTCTGCCCAGACCTGTTCTAGATCCAGCCACCACCCTTCCTCCAGGCTGCCTCCACCCCCCACCCACCAGCTTGGGAAGTGCCTCCTGAGACTTAGCTGGGACAGCGGGCAGATTGGAGGCTGGGGGGCCATGGAACCCGGGAACGAAACCGTGCACTACCAGAAGTTGCTGCTCAGTGAGTCCGCCTTGGAGTCTGACGAGGAAGAGGTAAAGGCCTCAGGACTGCTGGTGCCCAAGCCCTGGAGGACCCAGAAAGCCACTGAGTGAGTTGAGGAGGCGTCTGGGAATCTGCTCTTCAGATCTGAGGCCTGGCAGGCCCCTCCCTCTGGAGACACGGGGGTAAGGGGAAGTTGAAAGGGGGAGCTCACCACCAGGAACTTAGTTAAAAGGGAGAAACTTGGGCTACAATCTCACAAACGTGTGGGAGACTGAAAGGCTGTGTGGATCAGGCCAGTCTTTCCCTGGGGCACAAGGCACCTGCTGGGTTGGAGTCTGGTTGCACCTGGCTGGGCCCTGCTGAGCTGTGCTCACTCTTCATCCTCTTCTCTGCCTGCCAAGCCCTCCTTGGACTTCCCCATAGCTGGCTCTACGTTGCCTCTCCACGTTCCTCTCCAGTCATTCCCTCCATTCCAAATGTCCAATCCCCACATCTTCATCCAGGCTGTGACCTTTCTGGGAATTCTTTTCTTTCTGGAAAAAGTGTTTCTTCTTGTAAAACTAAGCCCTATTTGAGATACCTCTCCAGGCTTCTCTTGGATCTCTAGGGTGTTCTCCACTCCTCGATAAGGACCCATCTCTCTGCAGGTACAAAGTTAGTGGCTCTCCGGGGTTCTGGCCCCAAATGGCAGCAGCTCTGTTGCTGCTGACCATTGGCTTCTTCCTGGCAATAAAGCACTTCCAAGCTGATGACATCTGTCCTGGAAGTTTGAAAACTATGGTCCCTCCACCCACCAGGCACTCCCATAGCCCTGGCACATACCACCATGGGGCCATCATCAGCTCTGCAGGTCAGTACTGGAGCAACTGAGGGTGGCGTGGGCCGGGGGTCACTGGACCCAGGCCCTGCCCCACAGCAGTCCCTTTTTGCTGCAGCTGCATGCTCCAGCCTGGGCCGAGAGCTACTTGAAAGCGGAGGCAACATTGTGGATGCCGGAGTTGGAGCTGCTTTATGCCTGTCAGTGGTGCATCCTCACGCCACAGGCCTAGGTCAGTGAGCCATGCCCCCAGATGGACACCCCAACCCCATGCCTGGTTAGTGATCCGGGACTCAGGCATGGTCAGGGGTCCTCTCCTCAGACTGGTTTGTGGATTATTGTAGTTACATGCCATGGAGTCGGATCCAATCTGTATCTGACACATCAGTGAGTTTTCAGAGGCAGTGAATTGCACTGGAGCTGATGCCCACCTTTCTTCTGAGGACCAGCTGATAGATTGGAACTGCATGCCTTCATATTGGCAGCACAGCTCCCTACTACTAGGCCACCAGGTTGATTCACCATATGATTCAATGATTCCGAACCCAATGTCAGACTTTTGACCTCAAGTCTGGTCATTGACTCCTATTTCCAGAACTGGTCAGTCACCCTTGCTCTCAAGCTCAACTTCACACAAGCTCTTCTTACCTGGGACTGTAGAGTGACCCTGATCCTAGTCAGTGACCCTGACCTTTGTCCTGGCCAGTGTCCTTCAACCCTATGTGACTCCTTTGTCTCCCCTTCTAGGTGCCATGTTCTGGGGTCTCTTCTACAATAGCTCGTCAGGCAACTCAAGCTCTCTGACCTCAGGCCCAATCCAGACCGTGGCCCCTGGACTGGGCCTGCCAGCTGCCCTGCCTACCTTGCACCTGCTGCATGCACGCTTTGGCCACCTACCTTGGCCGCGCCTGTTAGGGGGCCCCACCACTCTGGCTCAGGAAGGCTTCCTAGTGGACAAGCTCCTGGCAAGTGCACTGGCAATCCAGGGCACCAAGGGCCTCTGCCCTCTGCTCTGCTCTGCTGACGGGACCCCCCTGGGCCTTGGGGCCCGAGTCACCAATCCAAAGCTGGCAGCTGTGCTACGTGAGGCAGCACTTGCCCCCAGCCCAGACCTCACCAGGGATGTCCTCCTGGGCCTCATGGCCCGTGACCTGGGGCTGGAGGCCCTCCCAGCAGAGCCTGTGCCCAGCTTGGTGCCAGCACTTCAACTGTCTGTGCCCCAGGGCATCCTGTTCACCACCCCTGGCCCATCAGCTGGCCCAGAACTACTGGCTCTGCTGGAAGCAGCCCTGAGTCCTGGGGGACCCAGCCCTGAGCCCTGCCCACCAGCCCTGCAAGCTGTGGGGACCCCCAGGAGCAGCATCCTGGCTGCCATCGACAGCAGTGGCTCGATGCTCCTTCTCATCTCCTCGCTGAACAGCTCCTTTGGCTCTGGGCAGCTCTCCCCCAGCACAGGGGTTCTGTTTAGCGACCTGGTGGCCCACTCTGCAGGCAGCCCCTGGGCCTGCCCTCTCATCCTCCAAAGAGGCTCCGATGACACAGAGGCCGATGTGGTGGGGCTGGTAGCTTCAGAAGACCCGATGGTAGCCAGAGCCGTGACTAGTGCCATGGTGGCACATTTAGCGGTGCCCCAAACTCAGACCCACCACCACCACCACGGGCACCAGCAAGGGCCAATAGACAGCCTCAACGCTTGTGTCCAGGGGACCCTGCTCCAGGTGACAGCCCATGCGGAGCATGCCCATGTGTCCAGCATCCCTGCTGGCTGCTGCCCATTCCAAGGCTTCTGACCAAGGACAGTGCAACAGTGTGGAGCCTGGGTGGGGCAGCCCTGAGGCAGCAAAGTTAGTAGAAAGCACCCTTCCTTCCTTCTCAGTCTTCAACCTCGGTCTTGGGTAGTTACCTGGATGGGCATCTAGGACGCCTGGAGTTCCGGACGTCCACAAATAAGCACTCAGTGGCTCTTCAAACCCCCCTGCTGCATGGCATCTCTAGGTCCAGCCCTGAGTTCTGAGAAGGACTGATGAGTGCCCAGTCCCTGCCCAGGCTCTGAGCCCCATATGGCACCCCAGGGCGCTGCTGGCATCTCCATCGTTCCCTCAGCTCTGGGGTTTCCTCCCTACACCATCCTAGTTCCCATGGGCTATCTCCTGGCCAGTGAGGGCGCCCTCTGCTGGCCTTCCACAGACAGCACAGAAGAAAGATCCAGTCTAACTCTGGATTAATTTTTCAGGAGATTTTGAGGCAGTTGATATCAGCCCCATAAGCCCCACCCACCCCCTACAGGCAGCACAGGAGATCAAGCCCTAAGATAAGCCGAGCCTGGCTTGGTGTCTTTCAACTTCTCAATGTTCTGTTCTCCTTTTGCTTCCTGAGAAAACAAAATGTACGTGGAAAATCCATTCTTTTT